AAGTTAGTTTTGGAATCTCCAGTGAAGTCTAGACAATGAAGTTTCCTCTTCCCTTATCGAATTCCATATTGGTATTCCCTGGCGAGACATAGAAGAGTTTATGATATTCCCGCAACTTTATTTGTTGCTAGTCAGGTGGTTCTTTGATTGTTTTCAAACCATGTTTTTCCCAGCGAAGTTAAGCAGTGAAATAGGACTTTGTCGATTCTTACCCTCTCGTGGAATCTAATCTTTGTCCTGCATGTGACTTGGCCGAGTGTAGTCTCCACCCAAGATTAGATTTGCCTGGTTATCCCCAGTGCGCTATGGTTGTTTTTGTCAGCATGCGCATGATAACATCCATACATTCATACACGTCATGCATAAATGAATTCAAAATTCATCACTCATTTGCATTCATTGATGTTTTATCAGCATATTATCCTCTTTGCAAAGTTATGTTATTCTCTCTCCAATAGAGTTGTCAATATTAAATAGAAAGTGTATATCCTTTCAATTCCCCTCACTGAGTTATCCCTCGTGGAAGATTTTTGCTTCAGCCTTCCCATTCAGTTCATTATCTGGATGGAATGTGATCCTCTTTTGAGTTTATTTCTCATCGGGTGCTGACTTGGTTGATTATTTCATTCCATTTTATTTCTGGTTTGAGTCTGTAGTCCCCCACAACATTATTATTCTGATTTCTGCAAGCTTCGAGCCTTGATTTGAGAATGTGCATTTATTTTGCACGAAAAGACTATTTTCTCCTCAACAGGAATGTATTGGCATTTCCCCAGGAAATCAAGCTTCATTTCTCGCCAGTCTTATTACAATTCCTTCTTAAGACAACAAGCGGCAGTTCTCTTTATTTGAGCAACATGTTCTTCCCAATAAGTCTGTTAACGTAAGAAGATGTTTTTTCTCCAATGAATGGTAGCCTTGTCATTACGGAAGGTAGTTCGTTGATGAAAATTTGTTACTTCCAATGAATGGTAGTCTCGTCATTATGGGAGATAGTTCGTTGATGAATATTATTTTTCCAATGAATGGTAGCCTTGTCATTAGGGAAGGTAGTTCGTTGATGAAATTTTGTTACTCCAATGAATGGTAGCCTTGTCATTATAGAAGGTAGTTCGTTGATGAAATGTGATATTCCAATGAATGGTAGCCTTGTCATTATGGAAGGTAGTTCATTGATGAAAATTTGTTACTCCAATGAATGGTAGCCTTGTCATTATGGAAGGTATTTCATTGATAAAAATTTGTTACTTCTAATGAATGGTAGTCTCGTCATTATGGGAGATAGTTCGTTGATGAAGATTGTTTTTCCAATGAATGGTAGCCTTGTCATTATGGAAGGTAGTTCGTTGCTGAAGTTTGTTATTCCAATGAATGGTAGTCTCGTCATTATGGGAGATAGTTCATTGATGAAGATTGTTTTTCCAATGAATGGTAGCCTTGTCATTATGGAAGGTAGTTCGTTGCTGAAATTTGTTACTCCAATGAATGGTAGTATCTTCATTATGGGAGATAGTTCGTTGTTGAGTTTGGTTGTACTTCAATGATAAAGACAATTCATTGAAAGATCTTTACAACAATATTTTTACCCTTTCCAGGTGAAATATATTGGTTAAAGAAGAAACTAAGACCAGTTCGTGGCATATAGTCAGGATCAAGGGGAAGTTTATCTGATTCTCCATCAAATGGTATATCTTTGAGGAAGTTTCACAAGGGAAGTTTGTTGTGAAATCTTTACAAGTGGTGGTCTCTTTATTTGAGATAGCTTGTGTTTTTACCCTTTCTAGGTGAAACATCTTGGTTAAAGAAGAAACTGAGACCAGTTTGTGGCTTATAGTCAGGATCGAAGGGAAGTTTATCAGATTCTCCATCAAATGGTATCTCTTCGAGGAAGTTTCGCAAGAGAAGTTTGTTGTGAAATCTTTACAAGTGGTAGTCTCTTTATTTGAGATAGCTTGCATTTTTTACTCGTTCTAGGAAGAACGCCAGTATTTTGGGAAGTTCGTTATTGCTCTTTGAGGCATCACCTTCAGTAAAAGCTGGTGCATTCTCTTTTCTCCACCTTTAGTAAACGTCGGTGTATCTTCTGTTTCTTTACCTTCAATAAAAGTCAGTATTGTCCTATGTTTATTTTTTTAACCTTCATTCTTGAGTGGGTAGTTCATTACCATTCTTAGGTAAGATTGATCTTTTCTGGTTAGCGATTGTCGATCCCATGTGTTGATGTTACTCACTTTTTGCTATCTCCTCTATGAGTGGATAGTTCACAGCTATCGGTTAATTGTTGTCATCCATTACTTTTCCCTCAGTTTTTGAGTTTATGTTATTTTGTCTCCTCTCTGGATCTTACCCCAGTGAAGTTGAGTTTTCTTTTCCCCAGCAGAGCCAATTCGTCTCCAATCGATTCAAATTTCTATCCCCGAAGTCGTGTTGTTCTCCAGAGATTTATTATCCTGGTTGAATTCTTTTTGTCAATTTGTAAATTCTACTTTTGCTTCTCCAGTGTGTGTCTTGCCCATCTGCATGAAGTTCATATGTTACATCCATAATCATAAGCATTGCATGGCATCTTAGGGCCAAAAATAGGGCTTGTTTTATATTTAAGTATCTTCAATCGCGTCGAAACGAAGATTTTAATCTTCGTATCTCCGGATAGAAGATAGTTAAATAAGGGCAGCTATTATACCCCAATTTTCCCCCTAAGATCCCTCATCATACTCTGTACATCTCACACATAGCATTGGTCTCAGAGTTATAAGATCGAAGAGCTTTGGCATTAGGTTTTCTCTCTCTGAATTGAGGTTGTTGTCTTACTCAAAATTGATTCAACTAGTGCTCTCATTATTCTTGGTATGAGATTAGGGTTTTGGATCTCAAGCAACATAGACGTCTTCACTAGCAGGGTTCCTCAAGATACAATTGTTTTCTTCATCAGAGCTTTCTTCGAGGAATATGTGCTTTGGGATTCAACCTGTGTACTTGAGAATTTATCGTATATTATCTAAGAATGCCATTGGGCTAGGTTTTGTCCTCAAGGCTACAAATATGACAATGGTGTGAGTTAGGATGTACCCCTTGGACAAAGTTATAATATGATCTTCAAACGCTTGATTACTCACCATCGAAGGCTTCTTCTTCTCAATATTTTTAGTTTTCTCCATCACATGAGATGACTATGGTTTCTTATAATACCGGTTATTCTAGTCATCTGAGAGACCATGAATCCGAGCTTGGAGGTTCTACAAGCACCCTCTTCTTTTTTCATCATCATCCTTTTATCATGGTTTATTTCCATGAATCATATACCATTCAAGGGGGGTTTCTTTGTGAGGTTAGGATCATCAGACATGACTATCATCAGAGGATATCATCCATGGATAACTAGGGTTTCATTTGATATAATTTTGTCAAGCAGTAAGGTATTCATTACTTGAATCGCAAGAAACGAGGACATGGCTCTATGCAAGAGAAGAAGATAGTTTCATGTGGATTCAGCTTACAAGTTAGGGGTGCAGATAATTGATGCAAAGCTATTCATCTGAACACGTGATTTACTTGTGACACAAGCCTTCTTTGGGACTTCATTCCAACTTACTTGAGATTAAAACCTAAATTATCGTGTGAAGAATTAGGTTTTACATACCAATCTTGATAAGGATACAAGGATAATTCAAATACATGAAGACACTTTAAGACATGATGAATCAATTTGGTATCACTTGGTCCATTCAAATGGAAAATAGTAAAAAGGGAGACTTTGCATACCATGATCTATTCAAAGTTAAAAAGAAAAGAAGTTTGGGATTTAAAGTTACTTTTGAAAAAAAGACTATTTGAATTTGTGGAAATTATCATTAAATTCAAAGGATTCCAAATCATGCGTCAAACCTCATTACATCATCATTCCATCAATGCCATGTCAAGATCAAAGAGAACGAATTCAATATGAAAGAAAGAGGACACTTTGATTGCTAAGGTTTATCATTGAATCTTCGAAATGTTACATGGCCATCTATATCATGAACCATTACAAAGAGGAATTTCAAGTGCGTGTACCGAATTCCACTTCATTATCGTCACAAATTCAATTTACATCAAGAGTTACAAAAGAAATACATAAAACTTCATCCTAATGTCTAAACTTCATGCTTAAACTAATCTCTAATTCCTTTCATGCCATGACCAAACCTTGTTATCTTCAAGCCATAATCCCCCGCTCATTCAATGTACATCATTAGTCTAAACCAGAACTGAACACTTCAGCCCTGCACTTCTTTGAATAGTCTGCATCAAATAACCAAATAAAATCCAAATTGGGCCCTGCATAATCAGAAATCAGCTCTCAATACTAATCGAACCTCTTATTTGTTTTCTAACCGATTGACCGACCGTAACAGAAAATAACTAAATAAAACTAACAAATATTATTCCAAAACATTAACTAACTACCTCACTTTAGCTTAACTAACTATTAAGACTATTAGGCCGTAATAGTTTTTTTAAACTAACTTTCATAACAGTTCAAACAAAAAAGTTAACAGAACTTAACCAACCAACAGAACTCTAAGTTCCAAAACAGAAACTTCAAAAAAAACTCTCTAACAGATTCCATAATCCCTAACTGCTAACTCCTAACAGTTAACAAACTCCCTAACAAATTTCTCAATAGGATATAACATAAAACAAAAAGAGGAGAAAAGAAGATTATTCATAACAAAAATTCCGTGGAAAACTCACAAAAACAAAACTCACCAAGAAAATCGAAAAATATCTCTGCAAGTTTCAACTGAGTTCAGCCTCTTCAACAATCAAAACCTTCACTCCCCATCCTCCATCGTCCCCTTCATTCTGCAATCTCTCTTCAAGGTTCTTCATTCACCAAACCACAACCTTCAACTACCAACTTCAATCCTCTCAGAGTTTTTTTCCCGCAATGTCGCTTCGATCATCATATTCGAACTCCTCTACACTTCATCATCTACATCACGTAGAGTCTTTGATCTTCATTTTTCTTTGTAACTGTTTCCAGAATCTTTAATCATCATCAACACAACCTCTACAACAGATTCATCATCTTCGATCTGCAATTGACATCAACATATCACTGAGTTCTCAAGAACAACAATAACACGAATTCAACGACAACGGTTCTGCAGAAATTCACACAGTGAATATAAACAAGAAGGCAGGGACACACAAATCAAAGAGAGAAGATGACCATGTGCATTACCTGAATTGAAGCTTCTCTGATTTTCTTATCATTTTCATCAATTCGAAAACAAATGGTGGTACTCCAGCCAGTACGTATCTCGTTCCCTTGCAATTTTTGCTTTATTTTTATAGTCTGAAACGTAGGGGATAAAATCGGAAAAACGGTAAGGTTGAATCTGTGAAAGCAAGAACGGAGGTGAGCAGCGATGCTGATAATGTTTCGAGAAGAAGATGAGACAGAGCTTGACGAAGAGAGTTGAATCATGGATGAGACGGAGGAGTTGTGAATTGAAGAGAAAAAGAATGATGAACGGATGCTATAAAGAGGTTGAAATGATGAGGTTAGTCGCGGAGGCAAGGTGGAGATCATCAGAGAAGAAGATTGATTGGAGGTTTACAACGCCACTCGTGGAAGAAGGAAGACGAAGCGGAAGCAGATGAGAGCGGAGACGAGACAGAACTCGTCGTAGCATTACAAAGGTAGCTCTTCGTCGATGTTCAAATCGGAGAAGATGAGGTGAAACGATGGTGAGAGTGAAGTCAGATGGGGAGGTGAACGAAATTGGGATGGAGGGTTGGATTTAACGGGTTAGCATCGTCGTTTGTGTCTAGAGAAGAAGTTTTATGTTCATCGTGAAGAGGGAGGGTCCCTAGAGATTGAACCCTAATCCCATTATAATTCTTGTTTGATTATTTTCTTTTTTACTTAGTTTTAATTAAAATTGAATTAATAGGATTAGTATAATCTGAATAAAAAGGAACAAAAGTTGAATTTGGATAATGGATATGTGTTGTTGGACCGGTAACTCGCTCCCTTAGGCTCGTTTTCATTTTTTGTGAGCCTAATTCCATACAACAAAAATTGTTGATGAACATTTCCTTAAGTGGGGCCTCCAGGCCCAAAGCAGTTTACTGAGCCATACTCCCTGGCTTCAACATAACGCCCCCTGGCTCTTGCTAGTTTCTTTAGTTAGCCTTTTTTTTAGTTTAATTTTCTAAGAAATAGTAATAAAATACGCATAATAAAAATAATAAAGAATGTAGGTCTTAGGAATACCTCTTATCACTTTTAGGTAATAAATTACAAAAACCAATAAAAATTTGTTAGATTTTTTTATTTGATTTTTAGGAAATTAATCCTTAATGCTTTCGACTACTTGAAAATTGCGATTCACCTTTGTTTGTTGAGCTGAGTCTTATGCAGGTTCATTATTTGATATGCGGATGTGTTTTGGATTCCGATTGTGATTTATTTTCACATCAACAAAGTTTCGAAACCTATTCCAAATATTCGATCTCTAACTATATTTGTTTGTTAATGCCAGCTCACGTGAAGTATCTCGAGTTTCTTTACTTTGGTTGCGCTTTTTGCGGACGTCATTGTTTGTTTGGTATTATACTGCTTCCAAGTTATATTTCTGCATTTATTGCTTTCTAGATATCATGAGAAGTAGGAAATAAAGAGCGTGCGCTCGAAGTCGTTGTTTAAAGACCTGTAGCAGGCATTCCGTACTTCACTTATTATATATGTTGTGCTTGTGTTTATTTCCTTTCTTGTTGATCGATGGGTCACTCAATTTAGAAATTGAGATCACGACTTCGCTCTCAGTGCATGCTCCCTATAGGACTTTATCGCTTTCCTTTATTTCTTGTTGATCGATGAGTCACTCAATTTAGAAATTGAGATCACGACTTCGCTCTCAGTGCATGTTTCCTATAGGATAGTTTGTTAGACTTTCTTTGGCATGCTAACTTAGATAGGATCCCTCATTGTATGATAACATTAGGTTAGAGATAGGTTAGTCTCCCTTGAATGTTTTCTTCCCATTTTTGTATAACTGCATTTAAAACTAAAACATATTTTTCTTGGCAAATACATAAGAAATGCTAAGCATATAAAAAACTCTTTTCATGGTAAAAAATACCAACCAATCCATTTCTTTTCGCCATTCGGCTTTTCTCTTCTAAGAGCATGTTAGCTCCTTTCCACTACAGGTCGTAAGTCTTCAAAGGTTGAGCAGCGGTGAAATGATTGAATGCAACATTGTTCATTTAAAAGATACAAACAAAATATATGAGCCGAACTACGGTGCTTTGATTCCTTAAAAGGGATACGTAGGCATCTGGTCACGGGGCTCAGCCGAGCGAAAATTGTAAATACTTCCTTCTTTTCCCCGTGTTTTTTTTCTTTGCATGCATTCCCTCTTAGTTTATAACGCTTAAGCATTAGATTGAACACACCCTTTGATTAAAATAACGAGAGTGGATCCCGTAGAGTACTATGGACGTGTGGGGTACTAATACCTTCCCCTCGCATAATCGACCCCCTTACCCAATCTCTAGGTCACAAGACCTTGATTTCCCCTTTAGGTTTTTCTTCGATGATTTTCCTTTCCCTTTCATATGGGAAAAATAAATACTCGGTGACGACTTCATTGATTTTACCGCTACACAAGAGTAGCATGATATTGTGTTATGATATCATTCATGGTGATTATCAAAGGCCCTAAAATATAGTTGCAAGTATTCGAAGGTGTATCCTCTAAATACTTTATTCTTCGCTTTCTAACTCAACAGAGGTAATAGGTCATAAAAAATTAAAAGGTGCTCAAAATGTAGTTGTTGGGATTCGAATGGGTGTCCTCTAAATACTTTACCCCTTGGTTGTCAGCTCAATTGAGGGAATATATGATGTTTTAAAAAAAAATTGAAATGTGACGCGTCTATGGTTTACACCTCGGCTTTTTGTTGGGTGAGGTGAAAGTTTTATCATAAAATATATTATTTGTAGTAGTGAACTCATATTCAGAAGATCTAGATTTTTAAGTTGAGCAAGCTTCAATTAAGTGAATCAATATATGAATGTTTAATTATGAAAAACTCATGAATCAGATATCGACTCTCATAGACGGCGTCACTATTATGTGCAGAAACTAGAATTAATCAATAAATGATAAATGTGGATCACAATAGTGGACTCGATTTTTCGGTACGATGGAAGAGGGGTGACCTGCAAAATTAGCACTTCAACACTTAAGTCAGTGTGAGAGTAAGATGAATTGAATGAGATTTGAATTTAAATTATTTGAGAAATGGTTTGTTCTCTCTCTTATATAGTAGGGCGATTATAACAACTTTTTTATCTAAGAGAAACGAGTTTCAGGCTTAACAATGTATGAATGCTTCCACATTTAAATTCAAAGCAATTTTCAATTTTTTCACTTCAAAATTACAAGTCTTATCATTTATTTTCTTTACTATGCAATTGTCTTCTACTTTCGCCTTTTATCCAATATCAACCAGTTTCAACCTAAAACAGCCAAAACACTAAGTTTAAGATTATTGTAATCGATCCTGCAAATAACTTTTAATAAGAGGCTAGAGATTGTTTCGCGAGAAACATCATGTAACCAGTTACGTGACTTTTTTAAAAACATCATTAGCTTTTTTTGTAATAAAAAATTATTGATTAATAGTATAATTTTTAAGTGGTTTTAAAATAAGTGTTTAAATTTCTTATAAATGTAATATTGATAATTTAAAAGAAAATCTCTTAACTATTTTTTAAATTAATTTTAAAAATAAATTCATAAAAATATTTATTTAAAATGAATAATTTTAATTTATTGCTTTTAGTTTTTTAAATTAATAATTTTAGTATTCGTTTTATTATAAATTCATAATAGTTTTTCTTTTAAGTTTATAATTGTTTGTATGATATCAAAATTATACCAATGACTCAGCCGTGGATAACGTTTTAAAAAAATTTAATTGATTTGTTTCATGTACTTATGAATCATCGACGGTTAAACCGTCTATAATTAGAAAATTACCGATGACCACATAATCGTTGGTAATAATCCGTGGATATATATACCGTTTTTCTTGTAGTGAATTAAGATTTTTTCTATAAAATGTCTTACTAAAAATCTAAATTGTGCAATTCAAAACAAAATTATCCTAATAGAAATTTAAAAATTCAAAAATTGTGTTAAATTACAATAATAAAGAAACTAAAATAAAGAATATAAAAAAACCAAAGTATTACAAATATTGTATGTATCGGTGTAAGTACCTAAGTATACCCTACCATGCATTAGATTCAGTTTCATATACAAGTTTTTTTATGACAGAATTGCTATTAACATAATTAACAATAATTTGAGATGCAATTGTTATTGTTTACGCCTATATTTAACTGTCTACTAAGTTTAATAATAACTTGTGTTTAAACATGAGAAAACAACATTTGATTGTCACAATAAATAGAGACAAAAAACCAGTAGCTCTCCAAATAGGAGCATAAATCAATCTAGTACAAGAGAAACCTACAAAGTATCATTCAACTGAATAACTAACTTTGTACTTGATTAGATGCTTACCTTTTAATACATAATCTATTAGTGTTCAAAATAAATATTGTATAACTGAATTTCGCATTGGAATTTCACTTCCCTACGTTTTTTCTGATTTTATTTATTCATAAAGAACTAATTACAAGAATCAGTAGTTGTAATTGGCTAAACATCAAACTAGTGTAGAAATTGTTGTTTGACCTCAAAAGTGATCCTATTACATACCTTTGACTCAAAATCTAATCTTTTGCATGCTATTACAAAGCCAACCAAATTACTTTACAAACAGAGTGGAGTTCTCTATATATACTTACTTAAATCTCCTCCCAAATCATCAAACACCAACAACAACAAGAAACAAAGAGTTGCATACACAAAATGAAGAGATTTTGTTCCAAAGTTTCTTTTCTTTTGTTTGTTGCTCTTATTTTGACAAGTTGTTTGCACTCTACAGCTCAGAGTTGCCGTCCAAGCGGTAGAATTGAAGGAAAGAATGCTCCTGCGGGACAATGTAATCAAGAGAATGATTCTGATTGTTGCGTGCAAGGAAAAATGTACACAACTTATGAATGTTCTCCCTCGGTGTCGACTTACACAAAAGCATATCTTACTCTTAATAGTTTCCAAAATGGTGGAGATGGAGGTGGCCCTTCAGAATGTGATAATCAGTATCATTCTGATGACACTCCTGTTGTTGCGCTTTCCACCGGATGGTTCAACCATGAGAGCAGGTGCCTCAAAAACATTACTATCAGTGCTAATGGAAAAAGTGTGGTGGCCATGGTTGTTGATGAGTGTGACTCTACAAAGGGATGTGATAAAGATCATGATTACCAACCTCCTTGTCCAAACAACATTGTTGATGCTTCCAAGACCGTGTGGAAAGCTTTAGGTGTGCCTAAAGAACAAT